GACCGTCAAATGTGATCCAAATCAAATTTATCGCATTCCACATAAACCGAAACCTTTGTGATCGGGCTACAACCGAACATGTTCATCATGTCATCAAAACAACGGAGAATACTAAATTTTATATATACAATATTATATACAAATCAATTGTAATTTGACGTCTTACAAAAGTTTTATTGTAAGACTTTTAATATGATTAGGAAAGAGCTTTGAGATTTTTAATCTGAAAAAGACTTTTCTGGAATCCAAAAAGTTTTATCAGGTAAAACGAGTCAACGATATGGAAATAAACGTAGACTCCTTTAATTTCCATAGATTCAAATTTTCATCCTAACTGGTATAACTTCATATCATATACACATACATGTACATATATCTCATTGTCATACCTGTGCCCAACGCCCATTATTTTCATCAGGCCACAAAAAAACATCTGCAACTTTCATATCACCCTCTCCCATTTATGCAAATGAAAACCAGTTGCATTTATTGTCTTACTTACGCTTCTCTGGGCGCTCAAAGTCTTTAACAGGGACATGAACAGCATTAAGTCAAACTGTGCAGCTGGATCGCAGTCGGAGTCGGAGTCGGAGTCGATGTTTTCTGTAGGCTTTGGGGCTGTTATGGCAGAGGCAGAGCTCTGGATGTTGCTTGTGCCTGTCACTCAGCGGTTAATTCGAGCGATTTTATTTACATTTTAGCAACAGGCCGCAGCAGAAACAGCAGAAAACCGGAAAGTAAATCTAACAGCAAAGGAGAGGGGATAGAACCGCGTTGCCTTGGAAATGCTTTGAGTTTGATTTTGGCGAAAGTCAAGACCGAAGCGTTTTTACTTGTTAAGGAAATTAGTGGCATATCCTGACAGTGGGCACATCCTGCTGCTGATGTCCCATGCTGCCCACTGTTGACTTAATTCATTGTCCTTGTCTTCGACTCGGTGGTGGATATAGTACAACAACCGCTGCCACGCCCACACGACCAATAATACTAATGGCAGACAAGTACAGTTGCATCACTGGCAAACAGAAGAATTCCAATTGGATAAAAGCACATAGCCGCAGCTGAGTAAACAACACAAGTTCACCTATAAGAAAATAACAAAATTGAATATGAATACGATTTCTAAACATTTACATTTCCGAGAGTCTTATAGAATTAGTTCTAGCAGCTTTAAAATTGGCATAACTCCACTTTCTTTCCTTTATTTTTCTTGAATTCTGGAATATTTACCTGCGAGAATCACAAATACTGAACACACGTCACATTGCTCTGTTTACCAAACAAATTCCCCGCCATATCGTTGCGCGGAGAGAGCTATCATCCACGTCGACCCAAACGAGCTATAAAAGTAACTCTGGCTGGCTGCACAATCCATCACTCACTCAGCATCAGCAGCAAAAGCTACAGCTACAACTCAAATCTCTTTTAAAATACTGTAGAATATTTCTATATACCAAACTCCATTATGAACTTCTACAAGATCTTCATCTTTGTCGCCCTCATCCTGGCATTCAGCATGGGTCAATCCGAGGCTGGTTGGCTGAAGAAGATTGGCAAGAAAATTGTGAGTCTCCAACAACTAAAATCAGGTTGAAACGTATTACTTATAAAATATTTATCCTTATAGGAACGCATTGGCCAGCACACACGAGATGCCACCATCCAGGGCTTGGGCATAGCTCAACAGGCAGCGAACGTAGCCGCCACAGTGAGGGGCTAGACCTATATAAAATTTCGTATTTTCATTAACTTTTAAGACTTTTATAATAAATATTTAAAGTACAAACATAAACAACAGATCTTATTATTAACTGTAGTACCTATTTGAGCTCCTCTCTATGTACATATTATGCAATACTCATGTTCCATACAGCTGGGCTGTCTTCTGATAAGTTGTGCATCGACTCTAATATAAATATTTAAAAGAGTCTTTGACGTAGATTGGAAGGTAAACCAAAAGTAATCCATGGTAAATACATTATTTGAATTGCATGGATATTTATAGAACTGCTAGAAAACATGTTTTGTACATTGTTTATTTGCTCAACTGAAGCAATAAAGCTTTCTATTAAGATTGAATTTACCTTAGTTTATTCACCTAGCATAGCATATGGCTCTTAGCTGTGGCCAGGGCAGAGCTCAAATCACATGCAAACTAAAGTAACGAAGCGTTACTTTTAGGCTTCTCGAGACTCGATTTCTGTCTAGTGCTGCGGGTATCATGTTCCTTTATTGTAATTCCTTAATTGTAACATCATTATTCCATTCAATTCCATACATAAATGTACATATATTATTAGATTTCAATGACAGAGTTCTCAAGGAGTCAAACACCATAGATAGATCTTCATATTTTGGAGAAATAGAAACATTATTAAATAAATTTATTGTACAAATTTTGATTTGTCTCCGTTATTTCGGGTCATTATGTAAGGTTAGCAGACATGCTTGGTGAATACCCGAAAAAAAACTCCATTGATATGAACGATTAATCAGAGAGGTTGATAGTAATAGAGAGAGAGAGAGATGGAGAGTGCGGTAACGCCCGAATTTTTGGCTACGCTAATTGTTTTTTGTTTAAAATGTTTGCAATTTTTAAATGCCTCAACATTTTTTTCGCATCAATAATTACTCTCTGATAACTATATTATATTAAATTTGTTTTTTGTGTTTTTTGTTTTGTTTTTTTTTATTTTTTAAGAATATAAATGTATTTAATGTATATACAAATGTTTATTGTTTATATGATTCATGCATACATTTCTTATACGTAGTATTTCCATCCATATACGCCTTGCTACAAACAGACCTGGATTTTGCCAGTGTGCTTTTTCGCCAAACAAAATCCCCGCGTGCGTTCAGCCGCTGTTCTTTTTTGAGATGCGAGGCTTATCAGCGCCGTCGACCCATACGAGCTATAAAAGCGACTCTGGCTGGCTACACAATTCATCAGTCACTCAGCATCAGCAGCAACAGCAACAGCTACAGCTACTCTACCTACTCAAGTCTTAACTCCCAGATTCCAAGGAATATACTTTAATACTACAAACTCAACATGAACTTCTACAAGGTCTTCATCTTTGTTGCCCTCATCCTGGCCATCAGCATGGGTCAATCTGAGGCTGGTTGGCTGAAGAAGATTGGCAAGAAAATTGTAAGTCTCCAATAACTAATACCAAATCAAAACATATTACTTATAATACTATATATCTTTGAAGGAACGTGTTGGTCAGCACACTCGAGATGCCACCATCCAGGGCTTGGGCATTGCTCAGCAGGCTGCCAACGTGGCCGCCACTGCCAGGGGCTAAGCCTTTATAGAAATTCCTATTTATCTTAAAAATTATGTACTTACATATATTTATTTCACTATCATAAGACTATATTAATAAAGGTATAATTAAAACAAAATGCGATAACTGTTAATTTATTAATAGCATAAGTAAATAATAAAATAGTAAAAATAATATTTTTTTATCGATTTAGTGACAGCTTATACATTAGTTAGTTACTAGAGAAACTTTTTATTAAGTGGATTATTTTCTTTTGAAAACATTCGCTTGATAAACTTTATAAAAGAATCGAATTCGTCTTCTAAGAAGGACGCTTCGGCTTGATCCATGTAGATGAGCAGTAAGAAGGAGCACAGACCGAGAATGGTGACGTAGTTCATTTTGCGCTTTAGCTGAAGCAGCTCCTTATATTTAACTGATATTTAATTCTTTTAATTTTAATGCACATCAAGTTTTCAGTTCAAAATCCCCTTGAAAAGTACGTGAACTTCAAACAGTCTTGGATTTTTATAGCAAAAATGTAGTTTGAAGTCAGCAACTTTTTTTGATAAACAGACAACAGCTGTCTTAACTAACAAATGTTTAGATAAGCATATAAAATGTCAGTTAATTGACAACTGTTTTAAAAATGACAAGCAAAAACAATTGCATTCAAACTTATTCTTATTAATTCCACCATGGCAATGAATCTAAACTAATAATGTCATATAATTTATAGACTTTCCTTTTCATTATAACTAATACTTACATGTTTTCATTATTTCAAAAAAACATTATTTAAATAAATACATGCAAGAGTAATTTCATTGCACACGAGCGCCACCTATTGGGCTTGCGCACAACACAACCGTCTGCCGCCAACTTCGCGTGAAAAGCAACCCTGCGCATCGATGACGTTTTGCACAGTTCAGTGTCAAATCGACGACTTCCTTTCCTGTCAAAATAGTCGACAAAGGTTGGTGTACATTTTCTGTGAATGCTTTGAAAAAGCCGAAAAACCGGCACAACATGCAATGCAAAGCCAAAAATGAATGGTAAAACGAGTCAATCAAATGCTGCCAACTAAATTGGCCTAAATTGTCAAGTGAAAACCATTGAAACCAAGTCGATGCTCAGTGATTTGCTAAAAAGTCAAAGGCAACTGAGTGAAATGAACAATTCAAATGTTGGCTTGGCAGCGATCTTGTGTCGTTTTTCGCAGCAATGAATCATAATAATATAATAAATATCTGTCTTCATTCACTTACAGATGGCTATCGGCTCTAAAATTATTAAGCCCGGCGGCGCGGACCCCGATGATTTCGAGAAGTCGATCGCCCAGGCGCTCGTTGAGTTGGAGGCCAACAGCGACCTGAAGCCCTACCTTCGCGATTTGCACATCACTCGTGCACGCGAGATTGAGTTTGGCAGCAAGAAGGTGAGTTGTGCTTGTTTGTGTTTATATTTAAAAATAATTGTTTTCTTTTCCATGTGTGTGTGTGTGTGTGTAGGCCGTCATCATCTACGTGCCCATTCCACAGCAGAAGGTGTTCCAGAAGATCCAGATCATTTTGGTGCGCGAACTGGAGAAGAAATTCTCTGGCAAGCATGTTGTCGTCATTGGCGAGCGCAAGATTCTGCCCAAGCCAACGCGCAAGGCGCGCAATCCACTGAAACAGAAGCGTCCACGCTCGCGCACTCTGACCGCTGTGTACGATGCCATTCTGGAGGATCTGGTATTCCCCGCCGAGATCGTTGGCAAGCGCGTCCGCGTCAAGCTGGACGGCTCTCAGCTGGTCAAGGTGCACCTGGACAAGAACCAGCAGACCACCATCGAACACAAAGTAAGCATTGCTGATAAGGCAGTTTAAATTGAATTGTATTTGAATGCTGTCCCCGTGTTATTTGCGGCACGTTCATCAAGCGCCGTGATTGTCAAAGGGGACGCATATCAAACTAGCCAATAACTCGTTATTGTGCTCCATTCACGCATTCCTGCGGGCGCACATCTCCATATATTGGCCACATTTTCAGTATTGTTTACATGACCGTTCTTGTGTTATTCGCTGAATTTGCACTCCCATTCAGCGATTGTCAAACAGAACGCACATCGAATTCCAAGTCAGCGAAATCCACATTGTTGAGCCTATATACATCAAGGCTTCTACATTACTAATTCCTGGCTACATTCTATTTATCAGTTTACCTATGAATCGCGCTGTTTACTGTTATAGACTTCCCTCCCGTTCTTGTGTTATTTGCTGAATTAGCATTATCATTCAGTGATTGTCAAACAGAACGCAAAGCAAATGCCAGACCATCCACGTTGTTGAGGCTATCTACTCCAAGGCTTTTACAATACTAATCACTGGCTACATCATATTTATAAACTATATTTTCTATATATATGGTTATCCTTTCTTGTGATTTTCCCCCGCCTATTTGCCTCCCGAGCGCCGTTTTTGTGCCTGGTGCCTCGGGACTTCCTATATCGGCGGCAAATCAAAAAAACATACTCAGCGCGTCATTGCTGCATGAATCATGCTGTAGCAATATGCTGAACCGTTTAACATTTGTCTAATGCTCTCAACTATAAATGTTTTATCTATAAAAATAATTACTAATATATATTCTCCATCTCACCCTCAGGTTGATACCTTCACATCGGTCTACAAGAAGCTTACCGGCCGCGATGTTACCTTCGAATTCCCAGACAACTACCTGAATGTCTAAGAGTGTTTTCCACTGGCAATGTCGTCGTCGCCGTTGCGCTGTCGTTTAGTTTCAATAAAAGGAATTCTGTCGTACAGAAGTTATTTTTAACATGCAAATGAGCTGAAAGAACGCGCGACGTCAACTAAATAAAAACAGTAAACATTTTTAAAAATTTAATTAATGAATTGTTTATTTAACTTTTGTATTGGATACGATTGAACGTGTATTAGATTACCTGCTGAAACATGAATTGTAATTGAATATTGTATGGAGAGAGCGTGTCATTATAAGGATAATTTATAATTCCTATTTTAATGTACACACATCAAAGTGGGCGTGCGTACATGTGTGATTAAAGGACATTCGATAAATTAGAAGCCAACGCCTTGCGTGGAATATCCTTTTGAGCGTCGCTCGCGCATTTCCCCAGGCTGCGCCACGTTGCATATGTCTGACTGTGAGGCGTTTAATTAAAAAGTGTATTTATTGGATTCACTTTGTAACTGTTCTCGTTTGATATATACCTCAAGCAACGCACACATACACGCATTTGTGGCAGCGATGCGTGAGATCCTTTTGCCACACATGTGCGAAAAGGGGTTAATCCTGCGGCCGACTAGGTCTACTTTTCCACTCGACTCGGCTCATTTACATGCGCCGCTTGTAATTACAGGACATGTGGGAATCGGTAATAAATATTTAGAATAATCACGTGTGTGACATCCAAGAGATGGAGTTCTCGTGAGAGGGGTGCGCCTCGCGGGTGGGTGGTTGGTGTGGGAATGGGAGTTGACTGCCTACTACAAGCAAAAGGATTAATGATTTATGCCGAGACAATGAATCCAAACAAGTGTACTAAACACCAACATTTATGATTAAACGCAGTTGGATGTTGTATGTTAATTAAATTCACTTTTGTATTTTAAGCCCTTTTGTGTGCGACTATAACTGAATTTGCTGATTGTGAAATAATATAATTATGTAAGTATGTAAGTTATGTAAGTTATGTAAGTAATCTAGGCGTAAAGTACTTCTTTCAGTATACAGTATGTACAAAGCATAAAAATGATATCTTTTTTTACTAAATTTTAGCTTAAGCTTAATTGTTTACATTACTAATTTTTCCAAATTGTATGTCCATTAGAGCTTTTCAAACAAATCTGAATATTACTAAATTTAAAATATAAGCATTCGTCCCCCAGAGAATCTAGTTTTTTTTTCATATATGTACAAATATATTTATATAAGTTCTCTCTTCTTTTCAGTAGTCACTGTCAACTGCCTTTAGTAACTAAATTGCATACCATATATTTTAATATAATGAAAACAGACTAAAATTCTCAAAACCTATTCCTTTAAGTTTAATAAATTATTAATGTAGTCTTTCCGGTTCAAGATATTTAAATTTATTATTATTATTTTTTTGATTAGCTTTTAAATTATTTATTTTTTTTTAAATTATTTTTTTTCTTTAATTATTTAGTTTTACTTTAATATATCTTATATATTCTATTTTGTTATATATTGCATGATAAATATATAATATAGATATTGGTTTGTAGCTTGACTAACTTGAAATTCGCCGCATTTAATTTCCTCCATTGGTTTGTGTCTTTACTCACCCAACCTAACACACCACATTGGTGGTTGTTTTTACTTAGGCAAATAGCAGGCACAGCAACCACAACAGCTACGATTAGAATTCCTTAAATGATTCGTCTGAGAAACACTTGTCTCAATTCTAAAGTAATTGGTATTGCGATATGCCAAAGCGAAATAGTAAATCTTTAATCTAATATAAATATTTACATTTTTGCGCTTGGCTTTAATTTCGGGAATTTTTTGTGTCTCCGGGTTACAGACAGAAAACTGCAGGCCACAACAAACCGAAATTGATTGCCATTTTGATATTCGATTTAAGTCAACAATGAAATCACGCAATACAACAATTTTGAAATGAATTACAGCAAATGCCGCGCATTAATGTTCTAGCTAAAGCCAAATGGACAGTGGAGCCACGCTTGAACGAACCAACAGGATTAGAGCTTGTTGTGTGAATAAGAGCTGTGGTAGAAAATCGAGAAATATTATATGCTGTAAAACAGAGAAAGACAATTTTACAAAAGATTTTATGCATTTATTTATATAAATATGTTTAGCTTTTATTAATTTAGATGCTTTTATTAAGTAAAATACTTTTGAATTTATTTAGTTATTTTTTGCAAAACCTAACTCAAATCCTTTTTAGAAAAATATTTGGTCTTGCACTTGAAGCTATTGCTGAGTCTCCACTGTACCAACTGTCAACACGAGTCCTACGTTCAGGGACCTAGTAGAACACGGGTTTGCCCACACAATTAAAAAGGTATCCCGGCCACAACATTTTGTGTTACCTTCGCTGTTGTTGTTGTTGTTGTTGTTGTTAATTCCAGTTGTAGTTGGGTGTTTTGATTGATAGTCTGGCAGACAGATAGGCGTGCATACTCTGTAGCATTCGATTAGTGTTGTGCGCCATTACAATTGGACGACGGATGATGGTTATCGAGTGCACGGCAGGCAAATGGCCCCCCAGCGGGCCAAATCAATTATTCATGTCTGCCCAATTGTGCGGCTGCCATATTATTTAACATCCAGTTTATCGCCAGCTTTATCAGCTGGACTAACTTGGCCAGCTTAGCCTTGGCAAAACGGAGGCGGTATTGGTGACGCATGCGCCTTGACTTTGATAAGCCAAACAACAATTAGAAGTCTATCCATTGTACATACGCCCACACACGCACACCCACACACACACATTAATACTTATGTAAATTTCCAGCCACTTTCTATGTTAATTTTATTTGGAGCAAAAATGTTGATGGCACTCATCCAGTACGAGTTGTCCTTCAGCTGTTATCCTGTCTGTTCTGGGCAGGCGAGTGTGGCAGGGGAGGTCTGGGTGGGCTTGATGAATTATTGACTCAAAGCTGTGTGAAAATTATGTCATCACATGTTGCTGTTATTGGCAATGCGCGTGCCATGACTCATCTCTGGGTTGCAAGTGCCGAGACTGCACACAGCCCTATATACCCTGCATAGCCCTATATGGAGTGACTAATCTTATCGTCTTATCATTGGGAGACCCAATTAGCGTACTCCTATCGCATGTTTATACCGCGGCACAGCTGTGTCAATAGTGCCCACTCTGCTCATACCTAAAAAGGGTCACCCAGGATTGGGGCGTTGGGTGTGGGGCGTGTGGTGTAGGTGTTGAGTGTGCGCCCATGGGCTGGCCTAAGAGAACTGCAGTAGCACTGCGTGCCATAACAGGCACAAAAGTATTTGATTACACAATCAGAGAGGAATGAATCAATTCAACGGGAATAGTTGCCTGTGCAAATACTCTGTAAGCAATTGACTTTGTAGATATCATAATATCAACCCTCGCTCCAATCCTTTGCACAGTGTGCAGTGAAGAGTCTCAAAGCGAGGCGAAACAAAAATAAACAATTAAAATCCGTGAGCTTCATTCCTGCCAGCCAAATGCCGAAGCTAAACACTTTTGAATTTTGTTTTGTTTTGTTTTGTTCGATAAGCGTAAAGATACAGCCATTGATCATGGATACACACACACACACACACACACACACACACACACACTCGCTAGCTTTGCAACTATGTAGACTCTACATACATTAGTGTAGAGTTGCGCGCTCAGCGTATTCTATATTTATCAGCGCGTTGCCATTGCATCATCATTCGCTGCGTTGGCCTACGCCCCCCAACCCCCGCCCACAGACACGAACAAACCGGTCCATAGCAATTTACATATGTTTATATTTTTTCTTTTCTTAGCTTTACATCTTCTATTCGTTTTCAAATTTGATTTTGAAGGCTGAGAAAACACGGCAATTGTGAGCCGCAAACCTTTCGAACTTGATCTTGTGCTCTGCTTTTAAAGTTAAAAAAAAAAAACAATTTTTTTTTTACAATATTAGCCTAAGTTATGTAGTTATGTGTAAACATTTCTTAACTACTTGCCTATGGGCGGCTTATCAGCATTTAACAATTTATTATTTAACACTCCGCAGAGATAAACAGCAACGCTGCTCTTCCGTTTCATTAGCGTCTGCTTGGGTAGGCTTATTTGTATATGATATGAAAGAAACGAAATGTGAAAACAAAAAGCCACAGACGATGGCCACGCGCTACGCATGTGTTGCTTGAGTCTCCAAGCTAACGATGTTTGTGCTCTCCCTCCCACAGACGACAGGGAGCACATGCCGCAGACTGTCCAGACGCAGACGAAGCGCACGCAATGAGAAGCCGATAATCAGCCAGAGCAGGCATCAAAGAAACGCGAGAGAGCTGGAGCGGGAGCTGAAGCGAAAGAGCGTGAGCGGCAGAGGGAGAGAGGCAACGTGAGTTTGGCTGGCATGGGAAAGCAACAAGCGTGCTTGGGCGTCAAACACAAAACTGGGTTAGCGTACGTTCATCACACAGGCAGCGACGCCAGCAGCGACGCGGCTTCCGATATTTACGAGCTTTGTCGGCGCCCGATGACGAAATGCCGGCTCTAGAGTAACGCTGTTGCTCACCCCTAGTCTATAGGCACTCATCGCCCACGCGGAGAGTCAGAGAGGCAGAACGAGTGTGTGAGAGTGAGAGAGAGAGAGTGTGAGAGGGAGCACGGGCGAGGCATTGACTTTGAACTACAATTCGCTTGGCGCGCCAACAGGCAGCAAGCAGGTTTTTGTCTTCATTCCTTATTGTTTTTGTAATGTTTACGGAATGTGTGAGCACAACAGAGAATAGTAAACAGTCGTGGAAGAGAGAACATGGGTAGATAACAAAGTTTGGGACGGCACATCTACTACTCAACCAGCTGCAAAATAAAAGTGAAATAATAATGAAACGACAAATAATGAATACGAGTCGAAGCAAAGGGTGTACCTCAAATTCCATTTCCCCCTCATCTTTACTTCGCACAGCTAGTGACTGCCGCTGCCGCTGCGACTGCGACTGCGGCGTCGACGTCGACGTCAGCTCTTTGATGTGGATGTAGTAAATGTCGGCCAGTTGAGCAGTGGCTGTTAGTCATTTAAGTTCGTTCGGTTGGTGAACAGCAGAGCGCACTGCGAGAAAATCTACAACAATATTGGCATTAGTTTCAAAATAACAAAAACAACAATATTCCCAAATACGATACCTCCCCGCTGCTCCTCCTCAAGATCTAAGTGCGTCCAACCAAATTCGACAATGTTTGCATTTTAACAAAGTAATTTACAGACCCATAAACCATATGCTAAACAAATAAATATAAATTATAGACACGGAACGTAATTTTTTCATGTTAATATTAAGAGAATCCGCAACGTTCGTTCCCCTGACGTCAGCAAATTATTCAAAATTTAACAATTTGTGCGACTTCTGTGACATTTGCAGAAATTTATGGGTTGTTCGATAGTTTTGTAATATATTTTACTGGCCAAATCTTAACTGTTTTGTTTAACTACTTGCACAGCTGAAAGGGTAAATGATTGAAAACAGTCAAATGGTTATATATCTAAAGTGTTATACATATATTTAAAAACTGTTATACTGCCAGAGACTTATATATAGACTGTTATACTACCGAAAGGTCTATCGTACTGTCTACCGTTACAGTTAAATTTTTAAGCTATTATAAGAATATACTGTTATACAGATATAGTGTTATACAGCTCATTAGATATCCCGATTATGCTAATAAACATGTGTATATGTTTGTTGTACACTTTTAAGCTATTACACTGCAGAGCTATTATACCGTAATACTTTGAATACATTTTTATACTATTATACTACTCTTATATATTATCTAATTCTCCACATATGCCGTTGGATTAACATGCGTATTATTGCCACAACCCTAGTAAAAATTTCGACCTCAATTAGCTGGTTAACGAGTCCCAAAGGGATTTCTCGAATTTTTATCGTCGCATAGTGTAGCATAGCAATAAATGTCAATTAGTCGACCTGAACAAATGGTTTTTGTGTGCTATTCATAATATAACTCATTCATAATTAAATTGTAGAATAGTTCACACATAAGTAAACTCCATTTCGTTGTGAGCAGATATCGAAAACTCTGAGAGAATATGTCATTACGCCATCTAGAAATTCAGCTAGGAACTAAGCAATTCCTTTAAGCAATACAAAGAGACGACTATCGGCTGGACGAAACGAATAATCGAGTTTCCTAGAGGTAAAATCGAAAATATTTTGTAAAATCTATGTAGCCAAGCAAAGATGCTCAAAATATTATTTGCAAGTGGTATTTGTGTCTACACGTGTGTTTGCCTGCTCATTAATTATTTTCGAAAGTAAAAAGAATCCAAATAATTTCGCGGGAATCTGTTAAGGGTCTTTCATATATAGAAATCAGCTGATATTGTAAGTATATCAAAATATAAATATGTAGATAGTAATGTGATGTGACGTGGTGTTTCGAAATATTTCTAATTTTACTGAAAAGTTTTTTTTTCAATGAATAAAACTGATGTGGCATAACAAGAGAATTCGTATATATGTATATAAGTGTATATATATACTTATATATATATATATTGTATACACTTAACCAAATCAGTCGTTATTGTCGCGCTAAATTATGAGAACTTTAATAAGTTTAGTTATTTTTTATCTTACATGCGATTAACTGCTTCAATTAAAGCGTAACTTAATGAGATCTATGTACCTATTAAAATGTTTTGTTTTTGTTATTACTATTATATATTATACTATTAGTCTCTGGGGTAATAGTTGCTCTTGCTGATTAATTGTATAAAAATTGCTTTGTTTGCTTCACAATTAGTTCGTAGGGGTACCAGTATAAGCATAAGGAACAGGAGAGACCGGATAAAAATATTTTATTTTTATATAAATGGTTCACTTCAGAGCATACGCGAAATATATACTCTATAAAAAATGAAATTAGAGTATATAAATCATGTTGAGTTAATTGCATTGATAAGTTTTTCAAAGATATTTTTTACTTTTATTGTGTGCCTATCACATGGGACTCAAAGTCCAACACTACCATCGTCATATCACAACAAATCTTAAGATTCTTAACAAACATTTCTTTTTTTTTTGTATTATTGATGAGTATTAAAGAGCTGATTTCACAGGGTATCATTATTTAAGCACATATATTTAGAATTTTATCATTCCAAAGCTTTCATCAAGAAAGCCAATGAAAATTGGCCACAAGTGACCGCCTGTCAATTAGTATGCGAATGAAGATTATTATTGCTGGTGCTTATTAGTTTTTATACTCTTTTCCATATACGAGGAGTCTATTGAATTTGTGCAGTTTTGTTTAAGAAAGAGTCTTCCAACATTTGATGTTCATTCGATGAAATTGTTAGATTTTTGTTTTTGTTCCGGCAATTTGTTTGAATTTGAAAACAGGTTTTTCTTCCTTCCTCAACATGAGAGCTAATTTCTCCCACTTTGACAATTGCTTCGACTGATCTCATATAAGGAAAAGATCTACAAATGATTAGTTCATGATATATATAGATTTCTATATTTCATCGAACCATGAAGGAGTATCTTGCGGCTGGTTGCACCCGGCTGCAACGCTTTTATTTATTATTGTTTTTTATTAGTATTTTGTCTTTCTAATGTATATAGTCTATTGATAGGGACGTGGGAATCGGCAGGCGATTGGCAAATATTAGAGCTCGGGTAACGGTTGGTCCGCGAGGTTTTTAACGAATGTCAATAGCGCTTATGGTTTCGCTTTGGCCTCTTTTTATTGTTTATGATTATTTATTATTAAGCGTAATAGAATTTTTGCCCGTTGCCAAGCTGTGGCTGAGTGGAATTAACAAATGAATTTTGTATATCGGGCGTAATTTATGCATGCTCTCTGGACTGGACTTTGAGCTCAATAAAACCCTCGGAGCTCTTCTAACACTCGAGTCGCGTGCGTCGCTCCAATGAAAATATTTGGCTGATTTCTGTGACACGCTCGTAAAGCGTGGCTGGGCTTGGAGATTTGGTTTGGGTTCGGGCCAATACCCTTTGTGTCCCACTCACTCGCTCACAGGCAGCCCTCACTTTATTTGATTGCCATTGACAGCCAAAGCTTCTAGTTCGAGTTCCTTTGCTTCTTACATTAATTATATTCCTCTCTCTTATCAAATTAGCGTGCCCCGCATTCGCTCTCAGTTGGCTCCTAATGTGCTACATTTTTTCTAATTAAAGGCAAATGCGAAACGGGGCGTGTTTGCGCGCCATGGGGACGCCAATGCGGCGTACGCTGCGTATGAGCAATGCCGGCAAAATCATCTATTCACAGAGAGCTACGTATGCATATATGTATGTGTTTGATATTTATATACAAATAAACGCCTTGAATTGACAGATGTGTGCTACACAGATAGCCAACTTATCTTATCAGCTACAAGTGCGGAACCAATAGCAGATTGCCAATGCCATACTGCAACGCAACGCCAGCGCAATTTGTGGCAATAAAATTCCTTTGACCGTCGCCAAAGAAATGTGCCCACTGTAGAGATGGGCGCGTGATACGTCTTTCACAATTTAGTTATTAATTTCTAGTTCAATATTATTTGTAGTCTTTCATAAGGATCGAACTTGGCTGATATATGGATAGTCGAATTTTTTGAATATTCCTTATGCTCGCTTACGTGACACGATTCCATAACTGATTTCTTGTTAAATATTCTATTTCTGTATTAAAACCTGCTTCTCTTATTCATATTTATACTTTTATCTCAGAGGCTAGGAAGGAATTTTCTTTCATTACTTCAAATCTGAATCGCTATAAATATTTTCGGGTTTCGTGATTTTAGTCGTGACTCATTGATATAATTCAAACTTATTAATTTTTATACTAACAAAGCATATGATCTTATTAAATATTTCTTCAATTTAGTGAGTCCATTTCAAAAAACTCTTACAGTCGTGTCTTATCACTTTAGGTTTCACCTATCGCGTTTGCTTGCGTGACACGACTCTTGTTTATGCTGCCCATAGAAATGTATACAAAATTCTTTCAAATACGTCACGCTCTCCCCTGCCATTTTCAAGTACGCGCTTTTTTATATGATATATCATAAGATCGCAGACATTTCTACAAGAATTGAGTCATTGCACACCTGTTGATGATTATAGATGAATCATGGGAGGTGTTGTTTGATTGAAGTCAAATATGATTGCTTATCGCTTATCAATGACCGAAATTCAGAATGAATTTCAGCTGAAAACCGCGTGCCCAGACACCGGGTCATTTATGTGAGAGCGCCAGGTGTTCCACTGCTTATCACTGTTTAGAAATTGTCTAGCAAATTTGTTTTACTTCTTGGTAACTGATAAGCATTTCGGTAGTAGCTAAGAACCAACAAATGTCATGAATCCCAGTGACAAAGCGACTTTTTATCCGTATTGACGGGAGGTTTCCAATTTTTGTTATTTTTTTTTGTGATATGGATATTATAATGCCGAGCTATTCATAAGGCTACGTATAAATATTGCTATCAGTAGATTTATTATGCTTAGAAAAGCCCAATTATAATATAAGTTTTGATAGCTTTGCAAGTGTATAAAAAATAAACATGTATTATTATTATATAGCTAAATGTCTATCATAATTTATCATTTCTCACGCATCAAGTGATTCATTCGCAAATCGAAAATAAATCTTGCGAGTTTTTAAGAGCTAAACCATTTGCTTTTTATACCAAAACACAATTGAAAATTCCAATTTGCAGCACTCGAAAGTTTCACAATAATTCCAAAATAAATATTCTCTAGCAAAGTGAGAAAAGATGTAAGACAATCGCAGCCTTGTTAACAGTTTTATGTGGGAATGTCTTGGCTGACTCCATATGCCTAGCATAGTGTATAGTTGAGTCGTAAATACTTTATTCCATCAGTTTTTATCGCTTGTCTCATCTATTTGCATAGGGCGTTATGTCATAGCCGAATAATAGGTTCATTCTGAAGCAGTATGAAGAGTCTAAAGACTCTAAAATAAAACCTAAAAACATTTTGGTTGCCTTTGTTGCTCGACTGAGGAACTACCCTATACAAGAAATTTAAAAATTGGGTATATATTTTTTTGTGAGGAAACAAATCTCTTTTTATTTATTTTATTTTATTTTTATGTAGGAGTTAAGAAACTGAAATAAAATATATCATGATAAAAAATATTATTTATTTTAGATATATAAGAAATATATACAATATTTATATTCAATTTATTATTAGAGACATGTTCATATAAATATATTTAAAGAGTATATCATATATAAGGGCATTTACAGCAATAGTCTCAATTCCATCCAAGTATTAAATTTTAGTATCTGGGTTATAGTCGTACAATGTCAATACTCAAGAATTTTTTTTATTGTAGGAGGCAAACAGAAACTATCAAAACGATAAGAAACTATCAAAGAGACACTACTATTAAATGAGATGGGGTGCGGGGCCCTGACTAGGCTGCTCCAGATAAGATCAAGTACGCAGAGAATCGACGAACTTAAGTTGAGAATGGCAAATGTTAATGGTTAGTGTAAACTATGGGCGAGTCGAGTTGCTTTAAACTAGGTGTACTAAAACCGGTTCAGTATGCATTAAGCATTTGAAAGACATCTACGAATTTTCACACTCAATTCACATTATTTCAAATCCCAATTTTCAATCAATAGGCTGTTAAATGATGGGCGTTCGAAAGTGCAATTAGCAAGTCTATAACTACTTGATTACTCATTGCTTGTGTCGTCAATTGCCATTTCAGATAGACCAGAGAGCTCTACACTAAGTACCACAAGCGTGAACACAATGTGCCTGTCGACGCCCACGCCCAGTAAGCCCAACGTCAACGGCGACTCCGTTGCAGGGCAGAGCAACGGCGGGGCCTGCAGCCTGGGTGCGATGTGCCAGGACAATCAGCTGAAAAACAGGAAAGCCCCAGCCACAGATGCTAAACAGACCAAAGAGTTAGATGATGATAATTTAGGATATAGCGAGGAGAATGCTGTCTACAAGGAGAATGCGGAAAAGACATTGAAGCTGGTCGAGGAGCAGCAACAGGAGCAGATGTCGAACAGTGACGAGGTCGTCTACAAGCCCCAGATCAGATGGCCTGATCTGGGTGCCCAAACATTCCTGCACGTTGGCGCCCTCTATGGCCTGTACCTGCTTTTTAGCGCCAAGTTCTACACATTCCTATGGGGTATGTATCAATCCATCATTTGTCATACATATACACATAGATATACGTATATATTCGGGGTAGACTACATACCCCAAATATATTTTTCAACTGGGTGGCGACCTGTAATTATCATATGTGAGCAAGCGATTTGCGCCCCAGAGACACTCTAATTGTCTTGAACAATATGTTAAATATATTTCACTTAGCCTTTGAGCAATATTTTATTTACTCATTAGCTAGTCAACAGGCACGCAAATCTTTATGAATAGGAGCATAGAATTTAAGTCAAAATAAATCGTTTTAGTAATATACATATATAAATGATGTAAGCTATTGATTTTCCATTGTGTAGTACTGGATCCATTAAAACTATTAGCCTTATTTATGACTCTTATAAATTTGGAGCCGATAAGATGGTGGCTGAAAGCAATTATCTGTTTTTGTTACTAAAGACAGGTATATGTTCTGGATAATAAAGAATAGATTAGAATAGGAATAAATGGAATTCGTTCAATAACGTTAATGATAAGCCAGCTAATACCTTTAAAATCTAGAGTGATTGTGAAATTATCGAAAGTGATGATGATTACTATAATAATGCTTATAATATATAATGACACTTATAAAAACGTTATAAACGGATTCGAATGTATTCTCCATATGACTACAATATACAACTACTTATCAAGCTAAATTCCTATTTCAGTTCTCTCTGAGCTAGTTTATCAGATTGTTTTTGAAATCACACAATTTTGTTTCGAGATTTACCCTAGATACCTACAAAAACTCGACCAGCAAGTAATGTGCACTTTGACCCGTGTAATTAAAGTTAACGATCGTTTAAATTGGCATTCATTGGGCTTTGAACGGTGATCAGAATGATTTCCATAGAGTCGGCCGACTAGGTGACAGCAGCTCTGACGCATGGCATTAGAAATAGACAAAAAGCGTGGTGGGGGGAAGAAAGGGTATACTCTCTAGTATAGTCTCTCCCCTGCCCACATTGGCTCTCTGACTATTTCAATTGCCATACGTTTATATATAGAATTATAGTGCGATGCCATTATTATATCATCGAATTGTGAACAAATCAAGCGTGACAACATCCACAGCAAACAAAAGTTCCAAACAGCCCACTCTTTGACGATAACTCACTCTCTCTATCTCTCTCTCTGTCTCCCTCTGCAGTTGTTGGCTGCATTTGGGTATCGGGCATTGGCATTACGGCGGGTGCGCATCGTCTCTGGTCTCACAAGTCCTACACAGCATCGCTATTCCTGCGCATATTGCTGGCGTTTATGTTCTCCATAGCGGGACAGGTAAGTAAAAATGAAATATATTGAGTTAAATATTTCACCCAGTCACTCCAGTGTTGTCAGTCGTGAATTCTCTGTTTCTCATGTTGCTAAACTTCTGAAGTTCTTAGTTGAATAGAGACTACAACGGAAGTTCCTCTAGGCTTTCCATTAATAAAATGTTCTGATTTAAGCTCATGCCATTTTGTATTCATTAAGTTCTATTTTTATCAGAGGATTTTTGTATGTAGCAAATTCATCTCGATTTTTTACTAAAGCTTCAAGCTTAATATTTCTTAGAATAAATTACACTCTAAGATAATCTGGTTCATATAAAAATGGTTCCTATAAAGCAAATATATATATATATATATATATATATATATTCAATTAAAAACTTTCCAGCTCAAGACTTCTAGCTTAGGGATTACTGAATATAATAATATTATTGATTATTGAGATCAACCAACTTGTTGAACCAACTGCATAACTCTAATTACTCGATCTTTGCTTTACTATGCAGCGCGATGCTTACACGTGGGCCTTGGATCACAGAATACATCACAAGTTCTCAGAGACGGATGCGGATCCGCATAATGCCAAGCGCGGGTTTTTCTTTGCCCACGTTGGCTGGCTGTTTCTGACCCCACACCCGAAGGTGATTGAGAAACGCAAGGTGATTGACATGTCGGATCTGGAGGCGGATGCGGTGGTCATGTTTCAGCGCAAATACTATATACCCTTGTTCGCACTCTGCTCAATTGTGTTGCCCGTGCTGGTGCCCTGGTACTTCTGGCAGGAGGACCTATGGATGTCCTTCTGGATAAACTTCAATATGCGCTTCACCTGGACGCTAAATGTGGCCTTCTTTGTGAACAGCGTGGCTCACATGTACGGCAATAAACCGTATGACAAGTGAGTAGATATTGGATATGGGGGGTGGATGAATGTATAATAAAGTATTTACTTTTTTGTCTTAGAAACATTACACCCGTGGAGGCACCCGTTGTCTCGTTTCTGGCCATGGGCGAGGGATGGCACAACTATCATCATGTATTTCCCTGGGACTACAAGACGGGCGAATTCGGCAACTACACTTTGAATGTGACCACGGCCTTCATAGACTTCTGTGCACGCATCGGCATAGCCAGCGGACGTAAGTCTATCGAGTGGTATCACATCTGACATCCGAATGATCCAAGAATTTATGTTTTCGCAGGCAAATCGGTCTCACCGGATATGGTGAAGCGACGCGCCGCCAAGTGCGGCGATGGTACGCGTTTCCTCAGCGACGAGTACGCGCACAAGAATCAAGTTTGGGGCTTTGGGGATCGCGACTTGCCACGCGAGGATCTCGCCGAGTTGGCCAAGATGCAGAATTGAGCCCTGTGGCACTTAGTGATGCTATGGTATTAGCACTTATTCGCCTGTGTTTTGTTGTAAATCCTAAGTTATTAGATAAGCCTCCTCCCAATATCCAACCCACAATACTACAGATGTAAACTACACTGCTTGCCCTTGTAGTCGCTTGTGTTACGTTTTAAGAGAATGACATGAACATATTAAAATCAGCCCAAGCTGTTGTTGCCTTTGACTTGATTGGAGTAGTACTTTATTTAGGCTCTAATGGAAGATCATCAAAGAATTTTAAAATAATTTAAATTTTTTGTATATTTTTCTCATTTTTTACATATGATTAGGGGTAGTCCTGCTGTTTACTATTCACCAAATAGTGGTACTTCTGCTATACACCTATAATGTACTTTTGAATTCCTTTCTATGTGATTAGGGGGATTCCAACTTTCCACTTATTATAAAATCTAGCTTTGCGGTACTACGAAAAATTGAAATGTTTTATACAAATATAAACAAGCACAACAGTACACAGCTGGTCAGTCTGTATTACATATGCATTAGGGGTACTCCTCTTATTTACTTGCCAGACTACAACACAGTCTGTTTTAAATAATTTATATACAGGCATATTTAAACATTCATAGACAATGAAAGGGGTATTCCTACGATTTATTTAAAGAAGAAATACGTCCGCAAAGTAAAAGTTTTAAATTAAATATCGTACATACAATGTGAACCCGCTATAAAGAACATTCGCATATTTACGCCGACGTACGCAAATTTATACGGCTCTCATGCATATGCATAGGGGTACTCCTATTTGAACCTTGGGTAGCTAAGACAGCACCATTGTGCTACAGTCCAATCCAGTAGCAATCTAGCCAGCGTCTGCAACAGTTAGCTTCACCTGTATAGCTAGAAAAGGATTGTCATACGATGGCAGGAGAAGCGAAGACAGACAAAAAGGATTCCCAAGTCGATGTTGAGTTCAAGAAGCGCGATGCCAGCTGGCCCCTCGTGCTCTGGTACATCCATGTCTATATGCTGGGCAGCTATGGCATTTATATAACATTTACGAGCGCCCTCTGGTCTACGATTTTATTCAGTGAGTTGATTAAGTCAGGCGCGAGGTTGCTGCATTTTCAATTTGGCGATTTCACACGTGTCGTGGTTCATTTATTCCAGCTACCGCACTCACTTTACTGGGCATTCTGGGCGTGACGGTGGGCGTGCATCGATTGTGGGCGCATCGCACCTTCACAGCAGTTGCTCCGCTGCGTCTGTTCCTCATGCTCTGCCAGACGTTGTCTGGCCAGGTAAGTGAACCCCCAGTCAGCTATGCCACTGCCATAAAGCTCGTGTCAAAGCTTGCACTCTGCGCTTTTAGCGTAGACACAAACCTTAGCAATGATCAGCACCTTAAACGGTTATGTTTGAGAGCAGATCGAGTGGGAAATCGAGTTTAATATTTATTTGTAATTTTCTAATGATAGTCGAATATTATATAAATTTATGATTATGACTTTAGTTCTTTAGGATTTACATTTATTTACTTATTTCTTAGAATATTATTAAACTGAAATATCGTATAGACATTTTTCATATGTATCGTTCATATGTATCCTTTGTCTAGGGCACCATTTACAGTCGCGTGCAGGCACATCGGCTGCATCATGCGTACTTCCAGAAGGACGAGGATCCCTACTATAGCAAGCATAACTTTTGGTATGCACAACTACATGGCAATCTATTGAAGTACTCGCGACAGCAGGAGCAGCTCTTGAAGGAGGTGGACATGTCCGATATAGAGAACGATAAGATCGTCATGTTCCAGAAGCGGTGGGTGGCCCATCAATAACTATGTTATGCAATCGACAGCATTCCGGTCTATTTACAGTTACTATGTGCTGCTCTATATTCTGATTAATGTGCTGCTGCCCGTGAATACGCCGTTCCAGTACTTTGGCGAGGCCTTCATCAACGCGCTGTTCGTGAGCTTCTGGCTGCGCAGTATGATTGTGTTGAGTGTCGGAAATCTTGTGAACTCGGCGCATTTCATTTGGAGCATACACAAGGGCTTCAAGCCCACCGACTCGAACAGCATATTTGTCATTACGAAATCCTTCTGGCCCCAATTCCACTATCTGCTGCCCAATGACTATCTGAGTGGGGAGTTTGGGGACTATGCCAATGGCACGGGCTCCACCATGATCCGTGTCTTTGCGGCCCTTGATCTGGCCAAGGATCTGCACACCGTCTCCTCGGTGGCGGTGCGCAATGGCCTAACGGAGGCCGTGGAGAAGAATCGTCCAATAATCGAGTGCATCAATGAGCAGGTGAAGCTCGAGGAGAGTTTACGCCCATTCAACCATTTTCTCAACCGCGATAAGTTCATGTGAGGCGCGCACGATGGAAATAAATTGCTAGCATTCAATCGTCAATTATGCATAATTGGTAAAGCTATTATTATTACTATTACTATTCATGTTCATGTCAATAAGAGTACATTGATTAAATTAAATATAATATTTAGATGGCGCATAGCTCTCGCGGTATTTATTCACATCAGCGGCAGCAATGCTTTATCTATTTACAAAAGAAATGCTAGTGTCTAGTGTCAATAGGCTTCTCATCTCTCATTGCTCATCAGTTATCACTCATCATTCATGAGTCGCCACTCATCACTTATCGCTCATCATACATTATTCATTATTTGTGACTTATCACTCATTATCTATTTCATTGTTCATCATTGATTGTTCATTATTCATCATTCATTATTTATTATTCATCATGCATTACTTATTCTTCATCATTCATAATTTATTATTCATTATTCATCCATCATTGTTCATTGTTCATTATTCATTCATCATCATCATCATCATCATTCCTTTCTCACTATACATAATTCATAATTCGTCATTCATCATGAACATCATTCCTTATTCATCATTCATTATTCATCATTTATCACTCATCACTCCTCATTTCGGTACTATTCCCAATGTAAAGTTAGAAGTCTTTTATATTTCCTGTGACTTTGCTTTATTTTCTGTTCAGATCTCTTCACTCCATTTGTAAGCCTATTCAGAAGGCCCATGCCAATAGTAGTCTCATCCAAAATTTGCCTTGCTCAGCTGTGCTTTTGTTGTGTTTGCCCAATGCTTGCATCTAAGATCACCCCGCCGATAAGGCCAAGTCATAAAATCAACTTCAAGCTCTAAACAACTTTACAAATCTTTATAATTAGGCTTTCCAAATTAGTTTTACGAGAGCCGACGACACTCGGAATACCTATTTTCAAATGCCTTTCCATTTGGCAATCGATTCACTTAAGATTTTCCCAAGCGTGGACCCCCCAACACTCCCGTAGGGCCCATAAGGGCGTTGCGTGCCACTATGGGCAAATTAAATGAGTCGCACTCAATAAATTATCACTAATACGCAATGTTTGCCCAGCGCTTGATTGATGCGTCAATATTTAAGCACTTCGCAGCGCATCGCACAGAAGCCTCGCCGAGAGAAAGAGAGAGAAATAGCTAAGACCTTTGCTGAGTCTAAAAGCCAAAGCAAGTAGCATAGATGTATGTATGTATATACATACATAGATCGCCTGGTATTCTACGTTGCGTACGACTCCTGTACAATTGCCATGGCAAATATTGACTGAATCAACAACATTTGGGACTAGGCTTCGCGCTTGAGTTGCGCTCAATCAAGCTGGGCGCGTTTCAATCTAAGTTCTGCAATGCAAATTCAAAGGAATCTAAATATGCCTTTGCATGCTCTGGACAGAGAGTGAAGTGAGTATATTGGTTTGGTACGCGATTTCGTAAAAAATGATCATTTATTGGGCTTGATACGAAGTTGACTTTGACGATTTATATTACTTGTTCACAAAGAAAAATATTTATGTTAATATTGTTTTTTCTAAAATTCAAGTCAAAAAAGTTTGAATATGCCTTACTTCAAATGGACTTCACTAGGCCGGCGTGGCTTAGATATTTTGTCATGTATTCAATAATTATAAGGACAGAGTATTTCGCAGTCGAGCACTGCCGCTTCCACTTTAACATGTTTAGCTGCTTTTACTTGTGACTTGGCACAAAAGTCTTAAGATCGTCAAACTTACGCTTTCCGCACACATTTATAATTAGAGATAAAATCAAAGAATCCCATAAAAAGCTAACGAAACAATAAGTATGATGGATGCCTGTAAAATGTGCTTGACTTGACTAGTTTTGTTTATCTCAAAGTAATTTGTTTATAAAGCAAAACAATTTTTGGCCAACTTCAAATTTATAAAAATATATATGTATAGTATAAAAGGTATATATTTTAGTAGTATAGTATTAGATATGTCCATATGTTAATTTAAGCTTGATGTAGTCGAGATTTACGGCAGTAGTCTCTCTCTCTCTCTCTCTCTCTCTCTCTCTCTCTCTGTGTGTGTGTGTGAGGCACTTGTACTAATTCCTAATGGCTATGAAGTGATTACTAATGAATTTGCCAGCTAAAAGCTGCGCCGGCGCAAAGCTTGCTGTAGTTCCATATACACTACCCAATGGGGCATATGAACTTCCATGCGGACTTTGGCTAGAGAGTTTATATACCTACGATTTTATTGGAAAGAAATAGTTTTTGTTTTTGATATTTAATATGCTCTAAGAAAATATAATTGAAGAATTAAAAAACATATATTTTAATAAGTAGTAGTCAGAGTATTTACATAGTATAAATATTTACATAAATATATATATAAGGCTGAGATCATTCTTGTTTTTATTTTATTTTTAATAAGTTCTATAACTCTTTTTATGAATTTATAATATTCAGTATAGTTTATAATTTTTAATATTTCCACAATTCAATCTTTAAATATTTTTTCTGTTTCAAGCCGAGAGAGTATTCAATCTTCTTCATTTTTGAAGCAGTTGTTCTTGATTGATTTGCTTTTTGTTTGTGGCAGTGGCAGGCACAAAGCACACACACACACACTGACTGACACACATACACAGTCATAAGCAAAAAGGTATTTGATTGCATATGTGGATGTGTCTGTGTGTGTGTGTGTGTCAGTCTGTGTGTGTTTGTAGATAGTTCGCTTTTTGTTCACACTTCGCTGGGGCATTAAGTTTGTTGCAAATTGCACTTGCGCTGTGCCTACTTTTGCGCTTTGTTATGTTAATTTGTTTCTGCTGTATGAATGTGTGTGTGTGTGTAGGTTTTTTTTTTTTGTCTTTTTCATGGAAATAGTCAACGGAGCGACAGTTGAAGGTTGCACAGATACGCAATTTATTGTTGACGGCTTTAACTTGTGTAATGTTTAATATTTAATGTTTGTTGCTCGATGGCCGATGCCGAATGCAGAGCAACGAGCCTATCAAGTACCCAAGAGGCGCAAACAAGGCCTAATATGCCATATGTTATTTACTGAAGAAAACCTTAATAGTCGAAGCGTGTACATGAAAATCTTTAAAATGTACCTACATGTGGATCAGTCTAAGAGAATGCTTACATGTACCTATGTACCTATAAGACCCATTCGAGGTTAACATATAAACGAGATATTTGTAATGCATACATACATTAGAATACACCTTTAGGATCTGCGGAGAAATTGATATAATGTACCACATACGCTCGTGTGTAACTGTAATTAACCATATACAATATATAATACCTTATATACAATATATAATATGTAACCATAGAGAACCGAAAAGCACAAAAATGTACCTAATATTCACACATTTAAATACCAATTCAAGGTTAACAAAAATTAGGAAATGCTTCTTATGTACGTATATTTATGTGGCTGCAATTTCCCATAATATACCGACGTGACTTTTCTGCTCGAGTAAACATTCAAGTCTCGAAAACATTAATAAAAGCTTTAATCTTATGCAAAATCAAAGCAAATATAGGAAATCTGCGCAGATGCAATTAAAATGTACCTTTAACGCATTGTACCAGCAATTAAAATAGGTACCACTCTTAATACATGTGTCTATAACCCTGAACAGCATTTAAGCGCACAAATGACGCCTTTTTGAAAAAAAAAAAAATCAACAAAAACATAGTAAAAACTAAAAGCCAAGTCGAAATACGTCAATGTATCTTGATGACGAATGCTCGACTATGAGTTACCCTGAACCCAAATAATTATTCGCATTCGCATTCAATTTCAAATTCTATACAATAATGCAAATGAGTGCCATAGAATGTGCAGTCTAAGAAATTGCACAAAGTCTAATCATCCTCCTCAATGCATGCAAACATGTGCCTAAGCTCAAGTTTGATTTTGAAACAAAGCGGCTTCGTCTCATTAATTCGGGGCGAAATGCCCCCGTATTTGAAAGTGCAGCGATTCTATTATCTGCCATATATTTTTTTATGTCGTTCCGCCCGTATTTGAACTCTACCAAGGTTGGTGTAATACTTATTGAGTCAGTGCAGAGAGGGGACAAAGTCGCAAAAACTATATATTGGAAGGAACTATCGATCAAAAGTCATGCGATCAGACTTTGCATATGATGTAGAAACATATATAATATCAATTGCATCACATTGCAAGATACGCATACCACCCATAGGCACATCATGTCCACACTTTGTTAGGGTATAGCAGAGAGAAATAAGCCTTAGCCAAATAATCGACAGCAAATTGTCTTTTCATGCGACTCTGGTACGGGAATGGAATGAATGGCTTTTGATTGTGGCCAAATAGCGCAAGAGAAGGAAATGATTAAATTTCAGATATTTGTTGCTCTACGAATGCGAACTCATGTCTCTCTGTGTGTGTGTGTGTGTGTGTGGGGGTACATAGGTACATAGTCAAGAGCTTTGTTCGCATTCGTACAGTTCTTTGGGCCCAGAATTTACTTCTTTGTCTTTCAATCGTTTCGGTTCATAAAAACCGCTGACGCTGCAAACTTGACTAAGTGAAGCTGCGCAATAAAGTAAATAAAGCAAACAAACCAGCTACTGGCTCAACATATTGTGAATGCCCATTGAGATAATTTGTCAAAATTTATTATAAGCAATCCACTCACAATTCGCAAGGTGTGCTTAACAGATCGCAAAGGTGTCAGATGGTGTGTGTATGTGTATTTAAAGAATTCTTTGAACTCACTTGGACCATTAGAAATATTGTATTAAAGGTAGAGCTTGTGAGACTTACAATGCGTCCAACAGGTGTCTCAACAGGTGTACCAAATGCTTCAAGTGTGTCAAGAGAACCCCGTTTGACAAGTGTACCGAATGTGACAAATGTGCCAAGTGCTGAAAATGTACCAAGCACCTAGTCTAAGAAGTGCCTTAAGTATACCTATTTGTTCAAGTAGTGTACCAAGTGTACCAAATGTACAAAATATTGTAGCTGTTAAAAGTATTCCAAGTATTAAAACTCACTGTAGTGTGACAAATATACGAACTGTATTAAATCTAAGTCTACTAAAACGTGTAGCCCGTGCACCAAATGTACTTAGATTTCCCAGTGACCCTTTCAATTTATCTCCTAGTGTACCAAGGTGTCCAGGTGTACCAAGGTGTCCAAGTGTACCAAGTGTGCCAAAATCTCCAAGTGTTTCCAAGTATACCAAGTTTTCAAAGTATACCAAGTGCTCCAAGTGCCCCAATTGCTCCAAGTGTACCAAGTACATAAAGTGATCCAAGTATACCAAGTGCTCCAACTGTACCAAGCTTAGAAAATGTATCAAATGTTTGATCTGTTCCAAATGTACCAATTGTTCCGAGTGTACACTCCAAGTGTACCTAGTTTAACAATGTACCTAGTGACAAAATTTTCTCTATGCAATATAAATAAATCGAAGATGATACTCTATTTTCTTGCAGTGTATATGCGTGTGCATATATTCTCGGCGTTGCCTCTTGCATTGTGGTCAAGTTGGGCTATCTGTGTTGACTCTATTTTTGTTTTTCGGTTTTTGTTGTTTTCTTTTGACAATTGAAATTTGATGTTCGGCTAAATTTGCTAATGTGTGAAGCTTATTACAACATAAACCACAAAAAAATAGCTGAGGAAAAGAGAAAAATAAAAGAGCAGCGACACCGACAACAAAATCTCGTAAATGCACGGGAATCGTTGAAATAGTTGAGACCGTGCGAGCTGCAGCTTTGAATTTATTTTGTAGTTTTTCAGTTTTATACCTCCCGATGTTTCGTTTAGGTTTTAAAGATCGCGCTTGCGCTTCCTTTTAGTGCTTGGCTTTTATTTAGGTTCGCTGTTTTTGCTGGCTTTTAATTAAATTTTTGGCTTTTTGGCTTTTGTCTTTGGCTTTGTTGCCGTTACGTAAAGAGAAAGCAAAGCAGCCAACGTTGCTCTGCTGTTTCTGCTGTTGCTGTTGCTGCTGCTTTTGCTGCTGTTGAACTTCATGATCATCGAACGGTTTTTGACTTTGGTCAACAAAAAGAGCCAAAGTGGAGAAGGCCACATGACAACAGCAACAACAACAACAACAACAACAGCAGCAGCAACGAACTACAACTGTGGATCCAATTTTAAATACAACTCAAACACACACACTTACAAAACATATAGGGTGAATATACACACACACACTTACAAAACATATGCCGAGATTCAGAGATTTTATGGGAGAGAGATTGATTGGGAAATTTGTTGTTGGTTTTTGTTTTTGTTTTTAGTTTTTGCTTTTGTCATATGCAAATACAATCGATGAACAGAATTAGTTGTTGGCTCTTGTGCAATAATTTTGCACTCAATTTGATTGGGCACAGGTAGGCAACGCACTAACCTACGCCAAATAGAAATCGGCTTGCGAATGATCCAACTGAATTTACATCATTTAAAATAAAGGTGATTTTTCTTATAATCAATTTATAAATAGGTAAATGCCCTTAGGGCGTATGTGTACAATAAAGCATGGCGTTGACATAGTTTTTATTTTGAGATATACATAAATTTTCGTGTTAACAGAATATGTTAATGCATGCAAATCTGCTGAGATCGATTGGAGAGAGACACGGGTCACTCCTACGTGTCATGCGGATTGCCTAACAGGAAACAGCTGTGGCTGCGCAGTCAGCAGACTTCTTTTCAATTGTCTTTGTCAGCAGCAGCAGCAGCAGCAGCAGCAGTAACAGCAGCAGAAGAGAAGACCAAAACCTATAACAGCAACAACAATAACAACTGTGAAATTCCCCGCCAATCCGACTGATGCTGCGCCGAAGCTCGCAGCCGAAGCTCACAGCCGAAGCTCGAGCCCTGCGCCGAAGTCGCACAGCGAGCTTTGACGCAGTTGCAAGTGCGCGAGTGTTCGTGCCTGCGTGCCTGTGTTTGTGTGTGTGTGTGTGGTGGCATAATCTTGGCCTTTGCTTTGCAGTTTTTGTCTTTGTATTAAGTTTACTGAGTCCACAGTGCGCACCACCAACACCACCACTACGAACAACAACAACAACAACAATCAGTCAGTCGGTCAATCAGTCAGTTTTGTGGCGTGTCAGCCCAGCCATCAGCAGCAGCAGCAGCAGCAGCAGCAGCAGCAGCAACAGCAACAGCAGCAACAACGGCCACAGCAAGCGCAGCAGCAGCGACGCCAGCAGCTGCGTCAGCGTCAACGCCAACGCTAACGCCAACGTCAAAGCCAACGCCGGCATAGGGTAGAAATTTAAAGTTTTGACTGCGATCATTTGTCTACGGAACGGCGGCGGGTTAAGTTCGTTAGATAGTCAGAGCGCAAGGAAAACCCAAAATCCACTCGAGTATCCCAGGTCCCCCCAACGAAGAGAAAACGCGGTCTTGCACCCAAAGACCCAACCATCACACACACATACGCACACACGCACACGCACACGGAGAGCGAGAGATATCCATAAAAAGGGCCGCGACAAGTGTTACGAGTGCAAAGCAAAACCAAAAGCGAAAAACAACCGAAAATAAGTAAAATAAAAGCCAAAACGACCAAGAAAAGAAAAAAAAAGATAAAAAATAAATATCAGGCGACAAAGCCAACAAAAACGTACTTCCAGCCGCAATTAAAAAATTTGTTTTGTGTGTAAATCTGTGAAGAAGAAAGTTGTTGGATTTGGAGCGGCAATTACGAAACCTGGGTTTCCGCCAGCCCAAGTGAAAAGTTTTGACAAATAGTAATCCCCTTGTCCGAATCCCCTGCCCCTATTCATCTCTTAGCCATAGACAACACAACACCAAATGGGTCACCTGTCCACATCGGAGCGCGTGTGCAGCACCACGCCCATGGCCAGCACAGGTGAGGGCAGCCCGCCGCTGCTGGCGCGCCGTGCTAAGCTGAGCAGCGAGGCGCAGGCGCGACGCAGCGAGGACTCATCGCCCGAGTCAATGCCGCGCGGCAAGCAGCAGCAGCAGCAGCCGCAGCAACAACAACAGCAGAAGTCGGTGCCACTGTCAGCAGAGCCGGCGGTCAGGAATATTCCAAAGCACCTGATTGACTATATACCCAAGGATCAAATCAACATGGAGGAGTACGTGCGCAATTTCAAGGGCGACAATGTCCTGGGCTGGCAGTTCAATGCGCCGCTCAAATGGGACAAGGTCATACAGATCTCCTTGCTGCATCTGATCGCGCTCTTCTGTCTGGTCACCTATCCGATACACGAACTGCGTGTTTACACGGTTCTTTGGGGTAAGTATTGACCCCATTATATAAGCTGTGGCAAAGTGTCTGCAGCTGCTGCCCACCTGCCCAGCTAGTTACATCAACAACAAATACAACTGCAGCTGCTTTGATTCCGAAATTACAAATGATTATGTATAAACATACACACATATGTATATAGCAACACACATACATACATAGTTACCTACCTACCTACATACATATGCATATATGAACATTTTTGTGTGGTGTCATCTCATGTTGTGTATTACCTTATGTGTTTCCCATTTGCTCATCTCCAACTTCTGCTTTGCACTCCGCCTCGCTCGCCCTCTTTGTCTTTCACACAGTCTTTTGCCGTTATTTGCAATTTGGGCGCATGTGCTGACGAGCGAGAAAGAAAGTAATTTACACAGCTTGGCTTGGGTGCGTAGGCAGAGTGAAGGGTGCGGAGGTAGGGCGGCTTGGCATCTCAAGTATTTCACAATATTTTTGGCTTACACTCACAGTTACACTTCGAACTCATATTTATTGGCTTTAATTAATTACTACTTAACATGATTTTTTCTTGCCTTGGCAACGCTGCTGGGCTGGCGTTGCCAACGACGCTTTGCCGTCGCTGTTGCCATCGACATCGACGTCGTCGTCGCCGTCGGCAGCGGCAATGGCATCGCAGCCAGCGTTGTCTTCGCCTTCGCCATGTTGAAATTTCATTTCATTTGGCATCGGGTTTATAGGGTATTTGCTTTTGTCTTTTTGTATTTTTTCATAATATTTTCTTTTGTTTTTGTTTTTGAACTGTACTTTGCAAATTCAGCATTAAATCGCACTGACACCGTTCAGACATGAAAATGGAAATGAAAACGTATGAAAAGTAAACCGAATAGCCAACTGAATATTCAGTTGACATAATTGCTTTATTCTTATTTGTGGGACATTAGTCAAATGTTTATGACCAGCCAAGGCTATTTGTAAGCCACACGCATTCTGGCGTTGTCAAGCCCAAGCTAGACAATGCCGCCTCTTCGCCATTTTGGCCATATTTGAGCTGGCGTTCAGAGACTTCCATGTAAGTCCCAGCCAGGGCCATGTTTCAATAAACACAGCATAAGTCTATATGTATGTATATACACGATTTATGACTACGCATGCGAAAAAACAACAACACAACAAAAACAAACTAAATTGAATTGAGCCCCACTTGGCATTGAGATCGCTCGCGGTACAGCATCGTCTGAGCATCAGTTTTTATTGGCGCATCATTGGGAATCCCATCTCATTGCAATTTAATGCAGAAGAGCGCAGGTGAAAACGAAAACTACTTCACTGAAATACTTGCGTTTAATTTCCATATTTATTGAGCCTGCTAGCTGCAGCCGGGTCCATGGAGCCCGCACTTGTCTAGACCCTTTATGGGCGGTGTTTCGCTCGTAAATATTTTGGCAAATTACAGGCCAACGTGCAGCGTTTACTTAATGATCGTTACCTTTACATAGTATTTTGTGAGCATGGGCAAAAAACGGGAATGCAGGGCATTGCGCATGTGTTGAGGCGTATGTAACAGGCCAGAGGAGGCGTGGTTAACAACATGTAAATATATATACATGGAGATCAATATAGTTGATCTAGATTTATTATTATTAGTCCATCTCTATATGCCTATTTGTTGTCTGGCTTGACTTTAGCTTTTTCCATTCGTATCAATCTTATATTTTATTTTCATAAACACGATAAAAATCGATAATAAATACTCTGGTTATTAAGACATATGTATTTCATATATGCTACGAATTCGAGTCATCTGGCAAACCTTCCAATTCCATTGAACCGTTTTTATAACTGTCAAAAAATCACTCAAAATCGATAGCAAATTTTTGTTACATATATAAACAAACATATATCTCGTGGGTGAGACGAGTTAGAGTCGTCATCAGATTCTATTTACACAGATTCGATTTACAGGTAAAAATAAATCTATGTATATATTCATATTCATATATAAATATGGGATATATTCAGTTGCTTTTAGACTTAATGTATCTTCTCCTTAATTTTACCGCCCATATAACTGTAAGTAATCTGGCAAAGCTATAGCTCTATGGGTTGAACTGTAGTTACTTCCGTATTGTTAATCGATAACTCGATGAGTAACACATAAAATAATACTAAAGTCTACAACATTGGCAAGTACTAAGCTCTCTGAATATATAAAAGAGCGAATTTTGAACTGTTTAGCGTATTTAAAAGTCGAGTTCTTTGGTTATAAAAATATTAAAAATCTTTTATTTTGTAATATTTGGCTTAAGGCGAAATCTTTTTGTTTTTCTTGTATTTCTTTTTGTCATGTTCAACACGATCGTCACATCAGTAATGATATTAATTAGTTTCTGGGGCATTATGATGTTAAACAAAAGACGTTTCGCACCAATGGCCACGTTTCGATATTTACTAAATGCGGTGCTAATTAAAGGGATTTGATCACAGAATTACGAAATTGTGTTTGGGGTGGAGCTCCATAGATAAATGTAAAAATATATATCTATAAATTTATGTATTTATTGATAATAAATATAAATATTAAGTAAATTTAAAAAATGACGAAAATAAGTTTTATAGATCATTTTATTTCAATTGAAATGAAAAATTCATAAAATTGAATAGAAAATGTCGTTTGTATAATTCCTAGAAACAAAGTTGCAAATATCTATTAGTTCAATGCATTTTCCAATATCACCTTTCTGCGTCAAGCTCTTTAGCTATGGGCAAAAGCGCATCGGATGATTCGACAAAGCGCCTTGGACTCGACAACTTTGACATCGTGGATCGTGCAGCTAATGCATTCCATTTGACTTGCAAATTCCTAATATATCATTGCGTTAGATCGGTAGAAATCCTGATAGGCATAGGCAATTGATATGCATTGAATTGGATTACAAGCGGCTTAGCCCTCTTAACCCCTGTCAGGCAGGGTCTAAGGTCTGGATAGCATTCTAGCATTCGAATTGAATTGATTTGCTGCAACTGAAATGATTTTTAGTGGTCAAATGTTATATATGTGTATGTGTGTATGTAGGTATAAATAGATGGTCAACAGCAGTCCAAATTGTCAGGTTTTTGAGCTAGGAAAACAGGTTTATTTGATTTTTTGGTTTTTTTTTTGGTTTGCCGCCCTGTCGCAACCAACAACTAGCAATAAACTTTTGAAGGTTAATCTTTCATTCACCGTTTTGGGATAGGACGTTGGAAGGGGAAGAGGGGCGCCGAGGCCGGGGTCGGGCCGAGGGGAACTGTTAATAGTTCATCAGCAGAAATTGTGTAACGCTGCGTCTATCAATATTGTTAACGATCATTGGCGATTGTCCGGGGAGTTGTTTTATCTCTTTGTCTATTGCAAATGTCATTGTCGGATCATTTTGTCTTCGTCATTAGTTGTTGGGGGTTTGCGGAAAAGCAATTGCAAATTGCGTTGCTCGCTGTTAATTGTTGTTGAAGCTCATTTCTACGTGTATCTTAGAGATACAATTGGCCCCTTATTCAGATACATTCGACATCGTCTGGTGACAGTTCAATAATTAAAGTTCGATTCGATCATTAAGCAGTGCTTCAGACTGTGCTTCCTCCTTGATTGTGGGTGTGATGGAAATTCAAACGAAATATCGTGACACCCACAATCACAATCACAATCACAGTCACAGTCACAGTTACAGTCACAGCCAGAGTCACGTGTGTGCATTATGCTATTAGCATGTCATGACGCTCTCGCTGTAGCCGGTAATTACTGTACTTACAAAACACAAATGATTAAATAATTTTAATAAATGCTCCCTTGATTGGCCTTGTGGACTTCGCTTCGACTTTCCGAGCTTAGGTTTCCGTCTTGACCAACAAATTAACACCACAACACAAATGCCTCAATTTCCGTCAAATGTAATTTTCGCTATTTTAGTTATTTCTATTCACTTTTTTATATTCAATTAGCATGGATTTTTTTTTTTGTAGTTTGTATACCCATTGAAATGGAGTGGATGGTGTATGTCGTTTATTGCCCAGTTCCTGAGTTCCGGTTTTATAGTATTGATGGTAACTCACCGTGAAGTAGGCCAAGCATAGTTACTTTGTCTGTCTGTCCTTAAACATAGTTCCATTGTCTTTCTATCCATCCGTAATTCTCTCTGCACGTCCGTGAGTAAAATATGAACCAAAACATACTTAGATCATCAATGACTTTCAACATTTCCTCGAATTTGATTCAGTTTCATATCACAATTTACTCGCTAGAGAGAACATCACGTATACGCCATAAGCAAGCCAAGAAAGACTCCATATTTGTACTCAGATTCTCCTCAACTAAACACTCATATAAAGTACTCAAATCGTTTGCTTGCTCTTCTCACATTACCTCAACAGAGAGCACACACTCGGGTTTGGGTATCTGTTAGTCGAGCACTTCATTAGTTTCACTCTTACCTGTTTCTGTGTTATTAACGCTTTTTAGGGCAGCTGATTGGATCTGTTAACCTTATGACTATATCAAAAGTGTTATTTTCTGATTGCTTGCAGCACTATTCATGGGCGGCGTGGCTGGCTTTGGCGTGACAGCAGGTGCTCATCGCTTCTGGACACATCGCAGCTATAAGGCGAACACGGTCCTCAGAAGCCTTTTGATGATCAGCTACTCAGTAGCTGGTCAGGTAAGTTATGATATACAGCTCGACCCGAGTCTTCTGATCTAAACAGTTATATTAGAAAACAAAAGGTAAAACTATAAAAAAAAAAAAACTCTAACATATCTTAAATCTAGTGAGACTTATGCATATTTAATAAATGATAGTTTTCAGTAACCACAAAAGAAATACATATATTTTATTTTTTTAGTTAGTTTAGGATTAAAAAATTTGCCGGATTTATGTCAAATAAGGATTTCAGAATTCCAAATATATGATATTTAATAAACAATTTCATATATTTCATTAAGAATACTCAAAATACTATAGAGTAAATATAAAAGTAAATAACATATAATGTATTTGCTATTAAATTTTTGGTTTCACATTGTAAAAATCCAGAGAAAATCTTGAGTTTCCATGCATATTAAACATTTTTTTTTTTTATATATATATAAAAACCTATAGAATTTCCATGTATAGCACTTTCTCACGGTTTATCGGGCATCTGTTGACCTTTCCGCATCAATCTCTTTCTCACTCTCCCTCTCTCTCTCTCTCGCCCACCTTGTCTCTGCCAACTATTCGCTTAGCTGACCTTATGGCAGCACAGCCAAGTCTTTTGCCATGTAATTTTGGCATTTCTGTCAACTCATTTAATTTATGCTTTGTTAATTTTCAAAGGTTTCGTTTTGCTCAGTTTTTTTGCCGAGAGACAAATTTGCTGTAATGTAATTAACATTAATTGCAATCATTAGGTACAGCAGCTTAATGCCGAAAACTGGAAATTGACAGCAGTGTAATGCACAAAAGTTAGTTAGCCCAAAAACAGAGAGAGAGAGAGAGAGAGAGAGAGAGAGAGAGAGAGAGAGAGAGAGAGAGAGAAAATCGCAGCTGACAGTTACATTTGTCATATTTAATGACCGCGCGTAAAGCGATTATGGAGACCATTAACTCGAGCTGACTGAAAACTTGCATTCCATTTGCAGAACACCATGTACGATTGGGTGCGAGATCATCGAGTGCATCACAAGTACTCGGAAACGGACGCCGATCCGCATAATGCGAACCGCGGCTTCTTCTTCTCGCACGTTGGCTGGCTGATGATGCTGAAGCATCCGGAAGTGTTGCGTCGCGGCCGTCAGATCGACATGAGCGATATCGTTTCGGATCCCGTCATACAATTCCATCAGAAGTACTTCTATGTGCTGAAGGTGATGCTCTGCTTCGTGCTGCCGACGCTGGTGCCGGTCTACTGCTGGAACGACACCTGGTACCATGCCTTCGTGACCCAGTGCCTGTTCCGTTACGTGTTCAGCCTGAACTTCACCTGGTCGGTGAACAGTGCCGCCCATCTGTGGGGCTCGCGTCCATATGACAAGTAAGTGTTCAGTCGGAGTGTTAATTGTTCGCGCGTGACAGCATTTCCATTCATTTTATAATCCAAGGCGCATCATGCCGAGCGAGAACATCTATGTGTCCATCATATCCATGGGCGAGGGCTGGCACAACTACCATCACGTCTTCCCCTGGGACTACAAAGCAGCTGAGCTGGGCAACTACAAGGTCAACTTCACCACCATGGTGCTGGACACATTCCACAGACTGGGCTGGGCGTACGACATGAAGCAGCCGTCCAAGGAGCTGGTGCGTCGCACTCTCGAGAAATACGGCGATGGATCACACGAATCGCAGCGTGGCAAGGGAGCAGCTCAATTTGGTGCCTTCCCACCTGGCACCACCCAAATGGTTGGGCATATCCACTACGCCGAGGTGCCGGATCCCGAGCTGGAGTACGATGCCGAGTCGAGCAGCACTGAGAGCGCCAAGCTCGACGAGAACGAGAACGAGGGCGAGCGACAGAAGAAGGCGACAAAAAAGTTGGCCGCTTAAGGATTAGGTAGTAGTTGCAGCTGCTAAGGACAGTTTGTGAATTGTCAAGGATTCAGCGGTTTACTTAAGTGTGGGGCTCTTCAACAACAACAATAAGAAAAACAACATGAAAAACAACAAAATACAAACAACAAAAATACGTTCGTAAAAATCTTAACACTTAACTCATAAAATAATGCGAGGTCTTGTCATACCAGAAGCAGGCCACATCTGGCTGTTTCTATATATAGCTATATATATCCTTCAATAGGTATATATACTTATATATATATATATATATATATAATTATATACGATATACGGACGATATATGTCTCTAGGCATCCGCAACTTGTGCGTCTTGGGCGTGGGGCGGGTGATGGTCGATTATCGTTTCTTTTATTAAATTAATATTCTTATTATAATTATTTTGTTACTCTTATATTCGTATCACATAATCTGTAACAGGTGCGAGGGTCGTGTGCACACAAGAAATTATACCAATTCATATATATTCAACAACACACGAGAATCCCCTAGCCCCGATCAGAGATTCCATATTCAACGATATCCACAAAATATCCCTCATTTATCCATTTGCGCGTAGGTTTAGGTATTCTCTAGCATACTAGATTGGTACGTCATAATTTAAGCGAAATACTTTTATATATTAATGTTTGCAAATTAAATAAACACACGAGCAACAAAAGCAATATGCCACAAAAAACGAGTGTAAAATAAATAATTTACAAAAAATATACTCAATTGGATTTCTTATTGGATTTGGGCGCAACAAATTTATGAAAATTATTCCCAAATTATATCTATTCAAACTGGCTTTCATTTAAAGCAACTCTAATAAGCATAAGAATGAACTTGACTCTCGAGCAGGAAGCTAAAAGGTAATAATAGTATATAGTATATATATAAACAAGTAAAAACTTTCTAGGCGAGCGCAACCGACCGTAACATACTTTGTTCCCACTTTATTTTTTTTTATTCCCGGAACTCATAAAAAGTGCAAGCATTTGCATAGATGACCGATTTACTACACCCCCTGTGGGCGTAGACAAATTATTTGTGTCTAGACCTTATAAGGCTAGTGCATGAAACGTAAGTAAAATTTGGCATTCCAATAGACATTGCGTAATACTAATATATATTTATGTTTCCTTTCGGGAACAGAGTATAAAGAGTTCTATTACCTAACAAACAGAATTTTTGTTAATCAGGAAATTTATTAAGATAAGCATGTATTAATAAATAATACAAAAAAGGTAAAAGCAAAAAACGTTAAAATTGTTTATCCACAAACTTATTCAGATCTTTTTAATAAATATTCATAGCGAAATGAGAAACCAAACAGAACCAAATGCAATGTTCATTCGTTAGATGTTGTCAAAGCAAAACAAACCACATCAGAAAGTAAAATTGTTTCTTTATTCGTTGCGTCATTCGTTAGTTAGTTACTTGAATATATTTTTCCATTCTTCCAGTAGTATTCCACTGATTAGCTGATTCACTGGAAAGATCTAGTAAACAATTTATTGTATTGCTATATATATATAGCTATAATAGGCACAATTTTAGGAATTACTTATCAATGACTGAGCTGCAATGCCATAAATAACAATAAACAATCAAGGAAGTTGAGGTCTTACAAAAAACTACCCTCTTCTTGGTCATCCAGTAATATATTTTCCTTTAATCTGCCTTAAAGTCATTAAATTTACCAAGTTCTTAACTTTTCATATTGAGCTCCACTCTTCTATGCCCTGCAGATCTACGCAGAAGGCGTATCATGACCTCTTAAAGTTAAACGTTTAACCTAAAATGTTTTCAATTGAGCTTCAAGTGCTGTGATTTAGATATGTGCTTTATACCCCATACTCGTGGGATAGGATGTATCTTAAATTTGCGTTTAAACGTCTTTTATTTTGCATAACTTAGGCCTAAATCACGTTTGGTAAAGTACTTACGAAAGGTAAGTAGGTTTTATATCTAAACTACCCATTGAAAGGTACCATGAGAAAGGGTTTACTGATTAAGAAAAGCAGTAAGTCCAGGGCTAAAGAAGAAACTAAATGCAACCTCAAATTTACCTTAGATAGAACCTAACTACATAAAATAATATAATAAAACCATTAAAATAGAAAATTATATACCCTGTACTCGGTGATAAAGGCATATTATTAGCGTGTGCTTAGGAGTTTTTGTTAAATTCCAGTTGCGTTTTAGTTTGTATACCCTATAGAATGAAGTATTCTATGTAGAGGACAAAGCTGGCTCAGTATATATCCATATTCGCCGGATCCATCTAGCAATCCTACATAGAATACTAAATACAATTCATAGCTGACTGGGGCTTTAGCAAGGTATCTGCTAGTCGTATAATTATAATAATTTGTAATACAAAATGTGATTTGTAAATTCACCGTGGCAAATGAGTTACAGATATGCATCATTAGAGATCGTGCCTTGCCTACGTGCTTGCTTGACTAAATATATATTGTATACATACATATATTTCAGTCAGAAATTTGTATATACATATGTATATATGGTAAATTCAGATGCATCTGAGCCCCCACGCTGAATTTCTTATCTTCAAGTTTAACATCTGCTGACCCAAAACCAAATAGACGAAATGCAAATGCAAATGCGTATGCGTCAGACTCAATCAAGCAAATAAGTTTGTCTAAATATATACATAGATGACTAATATATACAGGTGACCAGCCGGCTCTTGGAGCTGGAGCAATTGGCGAGTGGTCAACTGGTTTGATTTGGTTTGGATCTAAAGCTCTTGGCCTACGTGACCAAGGCGGCATCGAGTCAACTCAAGTCAAGGCTGTGTGCAAGGCTCGCGTCGCATCTTTGTGCTCACTGTACAGTCAGCCACAAGAATCCAAAACTATCTCAGAACGGAAGGAGTCGCTAGGTAATTGCGTCAGCCATGACGCTTGCATTGGCCTACGTGCCAATTGCCACGACTACCTCGTCGACCTGGTCTAGAACCTTGAAAAGGTTCACATTGAAGCGCGCCTTAAGGAATTCCCGCTGCACCGCCAGTACCACCAAGATGCGCAGCCGCGCAGCCGCGCAGTCGCTCATTGCACCACTTGGGCGGTGCAGCAGAGCTCAGTTATTCATCAACCGCACGCATGTCTCATTAACTTTTATGAGCCATTTATCAGCCAGGCCCACTTGCCATTATGCGTAAGGCGAAAAAAAAGGGTCAACTATTTGTGACTCTACCAATATTGTCTCAACAATATTGTCTCTCGCGAGTCTTAGTTAGTCGCAATTGACTGAATTTTACGTGTCGTAGAGCTCATAATTAGTCACAAATCAGCAAACACAACAAAGACCAAATTAAAATCAGTTTGCAATTGATATGCGATATGATATATGGTATTTGATATATGGAAGAGTCGTATGATGTATGGTTAAAAATATGTTGTATGGGAAATACAGCTTAAGAGGATAGTGAACTGGTGGAATTTCAGAAATTAGTTGAAAATAATATCAATTAAAATCAGTGTTGTATAATATATAATTTATGATCCAAATTGAATCTAATATTAATAATAAATAAGTAAATAAATAAAGTTTGATTACTAAAAAAAAATTAATTCATGATATAGTGTGATATAATAGGAAGTTGAATAGTTACATAAATATGAGAAAAATTGGCAATATGTAATACTTTTTCTTTTTATAATATATTTAATATAATGTGTTTAAATCTCTCTGCCTGATGAGAATTAATATGAAAAAAATAAAAATAAATAAATAAATAAATATATATATATATATATATATATA